GATTTAAAGAAGACCTTTGACTCAAATGAGATTGAAGCAGTCATGGAAGCCCTTGATAGTCAGGGAGTTCCTACTCAGCAAGATAAGAGTCAGTAGTTACAACTATACTAGATTCGTTCCACTGGGGCACCATTCTCATGACACTAAATATTGGTCAACGAAAGCTGACTTCAATCGGCTTTGGTGAGAGATTTAAAGATAGTTTGTGGTTTAATGGTTGGGTTTCACAAAACATCTATGAAGTTTATTTTCAAAAAAACCGAAAAAAATTTAATGCCGTAGTGACCTCCACGGAATGGTCGCCTTCAGCATACATCATATAAGTGTATCTACGCCGTAAATAAAGCAAAGGATAAAAAGGATAGAGCTCTCGGCGTTGATCAATCCTTGAAGGATGCGCCATGCATTCGGCTTCATTAAGCATCTTTTGGAAGTGATTTAATGCGTAACTGTCCTTAACAATGGCTGGCGGTGACCTACCGATGTATTGAGCCAGTGCTGCTATCCTCCCAGACAAGTTTGGTACCAATTTGCCGACCCCGGAGGAAGGGAAGGCTTGGTGGGCCATGGGTGTGGGGATCGATTCCACGTGTGTGTCACAGTGGCGCCTCCGACCACTGCGCCCCACACACCTTTGTAATACGCCATAATGTCGAAAATCTGGCGAATTGGACTATAATAGACATTGAATCTAATTATACAGTACGTGAATTACACATTGACCATGGAATTTACAGTGAGATTTAGTTATGAAAATGGTTTTAAAGAAGGACGGTGATGTTTATAACACCATCCTAACCACAAACCACTTGTTGACGAAATACACAGTAACCTAAGTGCTACCAAATGCATCAACAAAAAAATCGTGTGCTTCAACCCAGAAGTCTACAGCAATATTAAAGCGAAATATCTTCTACTCAACCGGTAATACTTTTTATTAACCCTGCTGAGGTGATGAATTCCTCCGCTGTATATCGCTGTCCGATACCCAGAACACCTCCCAGACACGATGAGGCGGTCAACCGTTGGGAGTGGAAAAATAGATAAACAAACAATTATCATGAAAAGATTAGGAGCAAAATTTCTTCGTATACATGTTGAACAGTGTTGGATATATCCATAGAATCTTGAATTTTCGAATTTAAAGACATTTACAGCATACCTTCTTCCGTGTGGCGCTTCTCTTGTACTCCAACCCAATTTTCACATTCCGTGCACCGCATTCTACATGATCCTTGGTAGTGACAACGTTTCGTTCAATGTTGTCAACAATATCACCCTTAATATAAAATAGAGAACATAATAAATATACGAAAGATAACAATATTATACGTCGTTAATAATCAGGAGACAATTTCATTTTAAAGTACTATAATTTCTAACACATATAACTTTACTGGGCACGTGCAACGCAGTAGTTTGTAGACTGCAGTACAAACGTGATCGTTTGTTTGATCCCGCGGAACATATTAACCAAACCTCCCATCTCTCCTAAGTTAGTAACTTGACACTTGACTTATCTAAAATGATAAAAACACCAACTTAATAGATCGGAAGGCCATCACGGCTCATTTGTATAGACAAGGTGTGCATTCAATCACCTCCAAGATGTTTAATGAAGTCGAATATCTAACGCGCCCTTTCGAGATTAATCAACAACGGACGCACGCTTTACGCATTATAACCCTGTTAGTCACGAACTCGCCTAAGCAAATGTAAAGTATTAAACAGTCCCTGTCATCCATTAGCACTGTCGACCGGTCTCTCCTGAGAGGAATGGTAAACAAACCTTGCCTAAGAACTGTTTTAGTCTTACAGAATTTTACATTTAATGTTCTTGGCAAGCTGTCACGCTTAGCACGTTGGATTCTTCCGTGGTCACATGGCTTATTTTTTAGTGGCGACAAAGTAGTCACTTGATTGCAATTTCGTCAGTTTTTATTTACTGCATACTGCTTTTAATGCCAGAGTATTGTGTGAAATGTAACCATAATGATGCTGAGATATTTGCTGATAGCATCTGTGGGCTAATAACACGGCTGAGGGAAGGGCGAAACGAAGGACTCGTATGGTGTGGTAGTAAATGTTTATTCTCATCGCGGACACCAGCGTTCCGGAGTTTTGCAAATATCTCAGCATCATTATGGTTACCTGATTGCAATGTATTTGTAGAAAAACCAGCTACCAGGACTTTACGTTTGACAGTACTAATACCTGAACTTCGGTCAAATTCTGCAAGTCGATAAATATTTCCTGCATTGTTTGAATACTTTTTTCGAGTTCGGCTATTTCATGATGTCGTCGTCTCACATCTGTCAATGCTGCTCTTGCTGAGACTGATAGAGGATTCACTTCACGATAGAACAGCTGAAAATGTGTTTGTTGCAAGTGATAACAAAATACCAAGTCTATGACTGTTTCCAAACACTAGTTTCACTATTATTCGCACAGCTTCATTTACTATTATCTTCAAGTATTATCTAAATAAGAAACGACAGCTCTCAAGTTTGCAACAATATCGCCTTCAGCTTAGTCAATATTGATCGCCTTTTCTAAAGGAGAGAAACAAAAAAACCTAGAAAATATAGGGAAGCAGCAAAATAGGCAGGCTAAAGCAAAATAGAACGTAGATGAGGATCCTATTCACGACAAAAGAAAGCGAATGGATACGATCCTAACAAAACATTAGCAAAATACAAATACTGCTCAAACATTGCAATATCAGAGCGCAATCCATCGCATTTTTTGCTCCTCTCCCTATATTTTTAGTAAAAGTATTAAGAATACTTCGACAAGAAAAAGAATAACTACGCTCTTTATGTCTCAGAAAATCACCTAAAATTTGCAGCTCGTGTTTATTTCGAAAATGTTATGGTTCTAATAAAGAGCCTATTTTCCGTTGTATTTCCCTATTTAGACACCGAGACAAAACAATGTGCTTAAAAATTTCTCAACCTGTTCATGATGTTTGATATAAGTACTAACAAGAAGCCCATTTAGATACCACTGCCTGATACCGCTGCTACTACTGCAGATCTCGAATTTTTAAAAATGACGCTCTCTCCGCCATAGCTTCAAAGATGGATTCCTTAACCAAGGAAAAAAATTCCTTTGCTCAAAACTACACTGCTTAAACAACCTGGCTAAAAATAAAAACATTACAAGTGTCAAAAATGCTAAAATTTTACCGAACCTGGTCTTAATAATCCGACTAATCTTAGTTGCTCTAAGGCACTTTCGACAGCATAAGACGTTTCAACTTCAAAAACATCTTACTTCATTTCCAATCCCAGTTGTACCAGTGGTGAGAAACTCCTCTTGTTCTCCAGCTATTCGGTAGTCAAAGTGATCAGTAGAGAACTTAGGAGCTTTCACACCACTAACCACCCACTCACGGTATGGTCAACTGAACACGGCCCCCTTAAGAATTTCTCCTCCGCAACCTAGATTTTGGCTCAAATTTGAGAAAATTAAGGCTTTAACCCTTCAACTAATAGACTTCGGTTCTTTAAAGTTCCTTACGATATGCACTCATCGTCAAGGCATCAGATGTACCACATAATTAAAAACGAACGAAACAGCTTATACTCTTTAGTGAAAGAGTGTGGAAAGATCGACCCAACTATTATTAAAAAATACGACAACAAAATACTAATGAAATATCTACTAAAATATTGTGGCTTTATTGAAACCTAATCTGGTCTCAGGGACCACGATTTTCACAAACAGATATATCCTCACATTAGATCACAATGTTGAAGAATTAGGAAAAATCTTAAACAATTAAGTAAAGCTCATCTCTACCTCATCACTTCCGGCTGAATCGATAATTTTGTCTGCTTCTTCCTCTGTGACGTTCTCACCTACTGCACGTAATTGACGTCGAACTCGAACTAAAACGTCAGATCTAACTTTTCATTCGTATCTAATGACTATCTCTTTTTTCGACTTCATTTCTTCTTAAACTTTTATACTAATTATCAAGCCATAGTAGTCTACAGATAATAATAGTATGGACGCATGTAGAGCAGTAGTTAGAGATGCCCTGCAATAAACATGTCAACGTTGGTTCAACCTTGCGCCCCGGAAACAACATCTCTTCGATACCTCCGGGGTCGGTAAGTGGTAGCAGACTTGTCTTGGAAGATAGCAGCATTAATTTGATACATCGGTGGGTGGTAGAGGTGTGAATTTAGCTTGATAGATTGGCAGGTGATTCGTCACCGCAAGTCACTGTATAGGACAGATATGCGCTCCATCACCTCTAGCGATACTTGATAAAGCCGAATGGATGGCACGTCCCTCAAGGAATGATGGAGGCTGGACACTTTATCTATTATTTAACGATATTACAATAACTGAATAAATACAAAAAGGCAGTGAAAAGAGTTTTAAGACAATTCGGGAACAAATCGACCGTAAGGCTTACCAGAGACTCTCGATCGGTAATCAGCATGGGTGTCGTTGAAACGTATTATGAGATCTCGTAGCTTCCTCCGCAGTAAGTCGACTTGATTTTGACGAATTCTCACTTCTCCGGATGATTGACACACTGAATAAAAATGACTGGTCCAATTTCCACGAGAAATGCTCTGGTTCCCAAAAAGGAAAAAAAATCACCCTTTGCAAATTCGTTAAATTCATTGTCTACCTCGTTAACCATCTTACGTAAGTCGCAAGTTTTTCTACGAATCTTCACGATTTGGTCCTCAAGAACATCCTGCGCAGAAAGTTTGGATTAAATTAGCCACATTTATGTTTTAATAGTACGCACCTTTTCGCTTTGATCTGCTATAGCGAGAGCTAAAATACGCTGTTGCTTCTGGCGCAAATTGTCGATTTCAGACTGAAGGTCGCCCAGAAGCCTCTTGACGTAACTGTAACAATGGTCGATAGAAGAATTGTGCAAACATTTAAATGAAACGCTTTTACTTGTAATTCATATTTCATAATTCATAAAAGACATTATGCTTCCATGTGATTTCTGTGCGGTTGGTCTCTACGTGACATACTTAGTGGAAACCTCATAGAAAGCGGCTCTGAGGAAGGCGAAATCCGCCGAAACGTCAGCTTATTCGTGAATAAAGAATAATAACACCTCGCGTTTGCTCAACAAAAATACGAGGAAAATCACTTGATCAATGCCGAGGTTAATAGAAAGTCGGTCGTGGGAGTTACTGTTTCCTATCTTTAAGAGAATAGCCTCGATTTTATCATTAATCTAGTATATATAATTGCTCAACATAAGGCCCATATCTTTGCCCTTCCTGGATACCACTCTATAACCACAGGAAAAGGCAGCATCGCCTGGTGACTCGATAGTGCGACCTTCCCTGTTCCGACATGGGTAGAATCGCTCCATTCGCTTGGATACAAGTCGTACCGCCTACCCCACTTTGTCGGCACAAGCTGTTATATCGCTTCCTCATAAACTTTCTGTTTAAGCAACATCATTAGCCATTCTTCTTATCTAAGGCGGTCGTCTGTGTGCACTTTCTGGGAACTCAAGCATATTTGAGGTCATTATTACACACATTTGGTTAACATCGTTGCACTCATCACATCCATCTTACTACTTTATTTCATGTACTAAGTTCCAACTGTTAAACCTACTCTCACATAGTCACTACAGTATCCCACGCTAATCGTGGTCCTAATAATCACCAATAAACTAATGTTATTGTTATCTCACATGTGCCATCCACCAATAATTTAACATCACTGCAATGTTATTATAACACCACATCAGTATTTTAATATGTCATCCTCCTATATCGTTACCTCTCCCAATTGTTTACCACCTCATCGTGGTTGGGAGGTGTTCCTGGGTGTCGGACTGCGATGCACAGCGGGTCCCTCAGGCAAGGTCTCCCAAGCTGAGAAAGAATCCGTCGTTTCCATCAGGAAACCTAGCTAAGAGTAAACCAATACCAAGTAAGGATCGACCACGGTCCTGGTATCAAAGTCGCATGGTGGCGAATCTCGATGTAAAGCGGGGTGATTCGCCCCCCGACAGGGTCTCCCAAGCTGAGGAGTCCGGCGCTTCCATCAGGAAGCCTAGCTAAGAGTAAACCAATACCAGGATCTACTACTGTCTTGGTATTGAAATTGCATGGTGGTAAATCCCACTCTGATCCACAAGGACTGCGACTGTCGTGGTGACCACCTGAGGCAGACTTTGGCCAGGCTGTCCTCGAGGTTCTAGAGAACCACAATGGCTTAACCAGTAAATCTTCAAAAAATGCTGGTTATGCTTGGGCCCGCACAACTAGTGAGGACGGGCCGTTCAAGTTCAAGTATATCGTTACCGTTGCATTTTTAATCACACTTGCTCACTTTACTATGCCACCATCCTACGGCAGAGGTGTTCTTTGGTATTCAGGATCACCTCTCCTTCATTATCTTACCCTCGCTTATTCACCTTTGTTATCGTTTCATTGCTTGCATTGTTTTGATATTATCATAACGTCATTATTGCATTATTGTTTCTATATACGGTTTTATTTATTATTCAAGTTTCAGATAACTAGCTGAAGTGCTTAAGAAAAGTTCTGCGTGGCAGGCCGAAAGAAAAGAGGCAACTACCAAACGGACTAACCAACCCACATATCATCCTTTACTGCTCATTAACTGTGTGAGAGTGATCCTGGGTCTCGAAATGCTATGTACAGCAGAACGTCAACCCTAGCAAGGTTTTCTAAGGTGAGCAGTGATACGACATAATCAACGGGAAGGTTGATTAAAGGTAAATCAATATCAGCAATGAAGCCCTCCTAGCAGGAACTTAGCACTACAAATCTCCTTTTAATCCATATAATCTGGAGCTTATTTTCGAGGATCTGTGAAAGCTCGGGCACCACTATCTAAAGACAATCAGGAAATTAAATAATAAGCTGAAATAGAAACCAAGTCTAGACATTGATTAGTGAACATATACTGTTTCTACTGAAGCATTTAAGCTAGTGTATATTAGTTGTATCATTTGTAGTTCAGTCAAACACAAAGTTCGCAGAAATAGGCTAGTCATGTTTAGCTCGTCGTAACCTGCTATGGTTTAGGTCTCCTACTTATTGGATTCTTGATTGGAGCCCTTTTCAGCATGGTGACCATGCTGGGTAAATGAACATTAGGTGTACATCGGAGTTCGGACAACCGTGAACATCCCTCATCCACGAGGAAGGTGGTAAACTATTCCCATATAATATGGAAACAAAGAATAAGAGAATACTGAAGCTCTCTTCGTTGATCGATCTCTGAGGGGTGTCTCGCGCATTCAATTTCTTCTAGAATCGCTAAAGGTGATTGAATGTATACCTCACCGGTACAATGATTTGCGGTGGCCCAGCGATGTATAACATTAAGTCAATATTGATATACTCCCAGACAAGTCTGGTGCTAATTTTCCGACCCCAGAGTGATGCAAGAATTGGTGCGTCCGGAGCGAAAATCGAACCAAGGACCTCGTGCGCGTTGCAGAGCTATGCACACACTCGTAGAATATAATATGAAAATATGGCAAGAAATTATACCCTTCCAAAAGATTGCGAGTAAGATTGAAACAAGACAGGATTATGAAGACAGGTTGCTCGAATTCGACTACGTACTGTCTAAGGGACAGTAGTAATGCAGCCTCAAGTTGTAAATGTTTTAAAAATTGTTATAGAAAAAGTAGCTATCAGACTTCTCAGATCTGCTACTATCAGCATTTACTTCAAATATCAAGACAAATACATTTACAAAAAAAATCCAGTGTTGTTTCACACCTTAAGCGATCATCCAACGCACTTGCTATTGGTTGCGGCACTATGGTCACAACTGGAGGTCCCAGTTCGACCTCTTCGAAACTATCCGTGATAAATTGGCGCTGAAAAATTATGGTGAGGTCGAGGATAAACTGATTGATAATGATTCTAAAATTGGCTTTTATTAAACCTCAGCAAAAGAAATCAGTACATTCTTCAATCACTAAGCAAACATAAAAAGGCCTTTTATCAACCTCGCATTCCCTTTTTTTTCGTTTGTCGCAAATTTTTATCTATCTTTCTTTCTTCTTTCTCTTATCCTTCTTTTTTTTAAACCTTTCTATCAACTTCGTATCTGCTTAATAATTGAAGAAGCTATCGATTGATAACGGTTTATTGAGCGACGGCTCCACAGAAACCTTAGCACGATTCCAAAAAGTGTTTAACGCTATAAATACTATATGTGACACTTTAATGGCCAGTCTTAGCAACTAAACTTGCATGCACAAGCAAATTTCCAGCCTAATGGCATGTTATCAGTTTAGCAAGACCACCAGAGCACGGCGAAATGCGCACGAGTGTTCCGAAGCCATCTACACAGAGAGTCGCCGAATACTGCAGAACTGAGGAAAAAAATTTTTCATACCCACCGTAATTTAACCTCGGTAGTAAAGTAATCAACACGGTTTTAAATTTTTGAGCTTACACAAGTTTGATAGAGATATTTATTTCAGCTAACGTCTCAATGTTTTCGTCTTCATCACAGCCGATGATGCGAGTCGGTGGTCCACAGTTCTTCGTCATCGATGTGGTATCTTCGTAGTCGTACCGTTATAACAATTTAAAATCATGTTGACTACTTTACTACCGAGGTTAAATGACGGTCGGTTATACATTGGAAAACAAATTGTTGTCAACAGATAGTCGTATCAACAGCAATAATCCTGTGTAAAAGAGCGTTGTCAGGTGACTTTGCCTCATTCGCGAGTTGTTCCTCTGGAGAAGATCCGACTCGGTACGACAACGAAGACGCCACATCAAGAAGACGAACAACTGTGGACCATCAACTCGGATCACATGCTCTGATGAAGGTGAAGACGTCGAAAGGTTAGGCGAATAAATCTCTTGCCATGTAAATAAATCTAGTCATGTCGAGTATAACGTCGCTGTAGGAAAATTATCGAATTAATATAAAAGCTAATGAAGAAAAACCTTGTGCACCAAAAGAAAAGGTCAGAATTAAAGTGCACAGAAATCAAGCCGTTCTGCCCGAAGTGGTGTACTTTCGTAAGCTTCGAAATTTAACGGTCTTGTGCGCTGTGTTCATTAGACACGTATTAGATAAAAATACGGAGAAAAAGCGAGTTGAGAGACAGAATATGAAATGACCACTTTGGTCAAGTGCTTCAGAGCGTAATTTTCAAAAAGCACCATGACATTGATAAAGTAACATTTTTGAAAGTTGTACATCACAAATGCAGCTCAAGGCGAAAATAAATCTTTAATGCAGCGAAAGTTTTATTCCATATTATATCTACATTATTTATAGATCCTTACTTGTAAGTCGGCTAAGCGATCCCTCATCTATGAATAATATCTAAAACAGAACATGATAAACGCTCTATCAAAGGTAAGCAAATAGGAAGAAGTACATTAATGCAAAGAGAAATCAAACATCACGAAATTTTAATGCCCATAACATACGCTTCTTAGTAAACAGACCACCTCAGAAAAAAAAAAGAAACTGAACATGAAATGAAATTGTTAACAAGAGAAGAAAACCAATCTGAAGTACATATGTAGTTTTCTTAGCGACAATACCAAAGACGGAATTGTTTACGGAGCTCGTCGATGGGGTTATTGGCACAGCCATGGGTGCTGGGTGGGTAGGTGGTCTGGGGTTCGTGTCGGCATTGGCGTTGACTCAGCCCGAGCTGCGCGTTTCGTAATACAATGCTAGTCATATGCAGGTATTTGAGTGGCGATCAATACGAAGGAGGTAGTAGTGCGCATATGCTCTACACCACTAGAAGTTAGCTGAAGTGTAAGGTAAATGGATCGTAAATACGTTAGGAATCTCCCTATATATGAAGAGTATGTTGAGTTATCCGGAAATTAATGTCGGATTTCTGGAATACACTTTTCTGTATATGCTTTAGCGATCGATTTTCTTTCCAATCCTATACTACCATATGTCACTGCAAAGCCTACTTTATGCACTTTTGCACCGTATAATTGGATGGTAATATAAATTATCACTAACTAATCGTGCCGTTAGGTAGAAAACTGGTTGAGAGAAATGGAAAGCAAAGAGTTGGATGGCGAAGTGGGTACTACTTGAACCCACGGAGAGCGTAGTCACGGGTTCGAATCCGGGCTAGGCTCCTGGTTTTGCAAATATCACAGCATCGCTGTGCTTTTATTTCCCATCGTATCTTGTCATGGAAAATAATAATAGGCGGCAAACAAATAGTTGAGCAATGTAAATTGCGCTGGTTTTTTCACTAATTTTAAAGGTTAGTTTTTCAGATTACAAAATAGTAATTTTGGAAAATGTAATGATACGACTACAAACTTGGATATAGTGAGTGTAGCGCAAAATGTTTGAAATATTAATGTGGCGTGGACCCAAAAAAGTGTTAACGAACGCGCAATGCAGCGTTGGTTTGTATATCGTTATCGTCGTGAGGAATTCGACCTTAAACATGAGGAAGGTCGTGGACATTATGCTGTTATTGACGACAATGAGTTGAAGGTTTCTCTGTAAGCAAATACACATACGATGACTTGAAAACTTGCACTAAAACTCACCATGAGCATCTCAACTGTTTCGAATCATCTAGAGATAATTGTAAAGCCGAAGAAGCTCGACAAATGGATACCACATGGACTATATGACAATCAAAAAATCGCCGTTCTGAGCAATCGTCGGCGCTTCTGCGCAATACTGGACTACGCGCTGCACTACCAACGCTGCAAAAGTTCAACCAGACAAGCTATGAAGCTTGGCCTCATCCACCTTATCAGGTCTGTCACCTTGCGACTAACACTGCATCAAGCATCTCGACAACTTCCTATGTGAGAAACGCTTCAAAAGTCAAGTCAATGCCGAAACTCACTTCAGTGACTTCATCGCCTCTTAAGTTTTAGAGCCTTTGC